ATGAGCTCGGGAGGAAGGTTAGCATTTGCGCGGTGTCAGGCTTGAGCTCATAGCTTCTTCTCTTGTTTTAGAAATAAAATATCTGCCGTAAAATGTTATTTAGAGTAGTTTTTCAGTGTCACATTATGCGTTTTATTTTTTTTGTCGAAGTGAGCTTAGCGTGATGTAACGCCAGAAGCGTTAGCATGTTAGCATTGAGTCTTGAGGTGTGTTTACTCCTGTTATATAAAACCTCTACTGTGGCCAGAACCGGACAGAATCAAACTATTTTTTACTACTACTAAGTTTTTGTTAGTAGTCTAAAATATATAACTAAATCTCGTATAATTTACAAGTTTGTCAAATCTGTCTTTTTTAAAAAACCGTATTCCAATATATTGACTGTTTTTCGATCAAAACCTTATTCATGTAGCAGACATCCTTTCATTACCAACTTATTCCATTGATAGCGAAATGAACGTGTTGGATTGCTGCATATAATAAAACAAGGTAAAAATAAATAAACAATTCAGCAATACGTTAAAAGAGCGCCTCTCTTTCAAAAGACTAGTTATCTGAGCTAGTGTTGTATGTATTTTAGTTCACTTGATAAAATAAAACTTTTTGGTAACACAGATTTAAAACCTTAAAAGAATATTAACAAAGACTATAATTCAGAATCATATTTAAGTAGCGTTTGTGCCTGCAGTGCAGATTTACTTTGAACAATAATGTAATAAATTGAAATAATTTTTCCAGCCTGGCTTCAGCATGCATCAGTGTGTTCTCCCATCAATGATTCGATACTTCTATAAATCAAACTGATGTGTCCCAGGATCAGCCGATAATGACCTCCTGTGTTGTTCAGTGGAACACTATGGAGAGATCTATCTGTCACTTAATGTGACCAAGCAATGTCACCAAATAGGATAAATAAATGCATGTAGGTGTGTGTTTGTACATGGTTAGATTTAGTGTTTTTGTTGTCCTCATTATGTTCTGCATTGGGTTCTGGTTATTACTAGTAATTGGAATATTTTAAATATTGAATAAAATGTAAAAATCCTTTTGATCTAGAATAAATAAATATAAAATAATTGACCTCAGGTCAAAACTAGAAACTGCTGCTTTCTCTAATTAAACATGTCTTGACGATCCATGCATCCATCCACTGTCAAACTAACAACTTTCATGCTCTCGCTGTAGTCCCTGGATGAAGACTGTACGCTGGAGGAGGAAGAGGAGGGATTGATCGAAGAGGAAGAAGAAATTGATCAGTTCAATGATGACACCTTTGGTGCAGGAGCCATCGGTGAGTGCAGTGTGGAATGTCATCATGTAACAACTGAGCCTCAGGTTGTATGTAGTCAGTTTTCTAAGACTAAATGTAGGTGTGATAACCTTAAGTAATGAAAAAAAAATGTCTGTTTCCAAAAATGTATAAAAATGCACTGAATTCTTCAAAAAGATGTAGCTAAGCCCATTTGGATGATTACATTTCAGACAAATTGTATTTTTGGAACATCCACCTTTGATCAACAATGACATCTATGCAAACAATTTCCACAATTAGTTTCATAAAGAATGAAATTTTCCCAAGATGAATAAAAATCCACCTAATTGCATGTAGCTAAAACATGTAGCTAAACCCATTTCAGTGCTTAAAATTTAGAGAAAAAATTACATTTTACATCATCATTGTTACTGAAAAAAGTCTTAAAAAATAGTCTCCTAAGATGAGTGAAGAATGCACTAAGAATGCACTAAATTGCCTAATAGTATAAAACTGAGACTGTTTTAAAAGTTAAACATCCACATTTCATCATTACTGATATCTATCTAATTTCCATCCATCTATTTTCATCCGCTTATCCAATACCGGGTCGCGGGGGCAGCAGTCTCCATGACTGCCACCCAAATCACACTGCACCGTACCAACCCCCCTGAACCTTCCTGTGAGTGGTGAGTCCACTGGAAGGTACCAATTGCCCTAACCGGGATTCGATCTTGCCCAGGAGGTGAACCCTCGGGTTTCACACCAATGACAGAGATATTGCCTCTGTGCCAAAGCGCCACTCTAATTTCCAAAAAGTCTTAAAAAATTAAATGTTACCAAAAATAAAGAAAAATGCACACAAAAATAGTTGAAGTACATTAGTTGATTTGTTGAACTCACATCAATTTTCCTCAACATGGCATGGCGTCTCACCTCCAACTGTTAAATTTTTTAAAATTAGAAATGAGTCATAAGTGAACTGCATACTTGAAGTTTATATATACAACATTTGCTCTTTTAACAGTTAAAATGAATGAAATGTATAACTCATTCACAAAATATATACTTACTTCAGAGGTATACTGATTTTATGGGTAGAGATAAACAATTGCATATTCCAGTGTTTTTTCTTTTGTGTGCATGCGCAGTAGACAAAGCATGCAAATGTGATACATGGGATACAAATCTGATAGAACACCGATCCTTTGGCAATAGCATCAGACCCTGAACCAGTCTGGTTCCACGGCTGATGGTAGAGCCCAGCCCCGAGACCCGATTGAAAAAGCCCAAAATGCATTCCTTCGTACAGGACTAGCAGAAACAATTTTCATGGTTGAGGTACACGTGTGTAGAGAAAGTAGCCAGACCAAATGCTAATCTCTCTCTCATGATGCGATGGGGGGGATTTTAATTTAATTAATTAATAGTATATTTTGGGGGGGCTGGAACGAATGAATTGGTTTTTAGTTATATTTAATGGGGAAAATGCTATCGAAATACGAGCAGCCCAACATACGAGTGCTGTTGTGGAACGGATTAAACTTGTATCTTTAAGCCCCACTACGTATATATACATACAGTGCATGACAGCACGTAAATTTCACTTCTGAAGTTTAAATAAAAATTAGTTGATGTTTAACGGATTGGGAATGAATGGACAATGCATGTGGAAATTATGTGGGAGGCGACAGATGTAAAAATCTACCAATTAGCTGGTTATGTTCCCAGAGTCGGTTACCATGGTGACTGACTCAGAGTTACAGTTACCTCTCTTTCTGGAGCAGTTAGGTCAGTTTCAGGATTAACTTTCTCTTGAGTTTTCACCTGCTTTCTGGAATAACCCCCTCAGATGTAAAAACCTCTTCATCTTATTGTTCTTCTCACAGATGATGACTGGCAGGAGGAGCACAAACGACTGGCTGAGCTGGATAAGCGGGATGGACTGGGGGCAGAAGGTGGAGGAGGGATGGGCCGAGACTTAGACTTTGGAGGAGCAGAGGAGTCCTCCTCTACTCTTCTGACTCCTTCCACAGGCCGTCCCCCCCTCCCATCTTCCCTTCCTTCACTGAACTTCGCACCCTCCTCCAGGCTGCCTCCTCTAGGTCAGTCATTGAATGAAATCACTAACCCTGGTTGTTTTTAATTCTTCATAAGTTCGTAAACTGCTGTAAGAGTAGATTTACTGTTTGATCAAGTATGATTATGTTAACAATCAAAAACAAGGACAAATAAAGTGCAGAATATTCTCTAGATCGGGGTGTCCATACTTTTTTGTCATTGGAGCTACTAAACAAATCACCAGGCTAGAATGATATACCTACATTGTGTGCATGTGGTTTTGTGTGTGCTATACTGATAAAATTCTTACAATATAGGGTGATTATTTCACATTATAGAATTAAATTTATTCTTACATTTTTTTCAGCACTCCCTTTGTGAGCTACTGGGAGATCTGTAAAAAATAACTTGTGAATTCCAGATTCTGAGGATAGAGGAGGGGGAGGTGACCTGGTGGAGTCCTTGGCCAGGTTCATCCTGGACGCAGATCCAGCCATAGCCGGCGTAGGGACCACCGAGAGACCTGTCCCTTCCTTGAGTTCCAGTGGTTCCAGCATATCCTCACTTCAGGGACTGGAGCCATCTCGAGTTCTATCCCGGCACTCCTCTATGCCACAGCCCACTCACTTACAGCATCCTCCTCGCCCCTCCCAGCACCAGCTGCCCCCTGGACCCTCCAGTTCAGGTAAGCGTGAAGGCAGGGATGCTGAATTTTATTTTTTAATATTTTTGAATGTTATCCCACTGCCTTTACTTTAACAATGTTTTTTATATTTTTATGTTTTTTTATACATGTCATAAATTCCAGCACTTAAATCAGTATTTCAATCATGAAGTACTTGTTAAAAGTGGTAAATCTGCTCCATACTTAAAATGTTAGCGGTCATAGAGAGAATAAATGTTCCGGCGCTAATCTGTGTGTTGTGATTGGTCAAGTGAAACCAGAACTGTTTTAGTTTCTGACCGATCTTTAACGACGTTGTTGTTGCTGTTCAGTTCGTTCGTCGTTTGTGTTGAGCTGCTGTTTGTTCTGCTGCTTCACTTCAGGCCTTTCCTCAGCCGCTGCTTCTCCATCAATGCTCAGCTACCAGCAGCAGCAGCATATGCTGCACAGAGGCTCTGTCCCCATCAGTCAGGTGACCTTTTACTGTGCATCATTTTGAAAATTTTTAAACCTAAACCTGAAACGTATACACCAGGCTGCAATGGTTAATGAGTTAGACAAACACCTTGTCTTTGCTGCAGTATTTCTTTACAGTTTAATACAACTGTGTAATGTATGTTTCTACAGTTTGATTTTCCAAGAAAATTTTTATATTTTTTTATTATCAATTTAATGATAATCTCTCACTCGTAGATGAATTCTCACAACATCTGGGACAACAGTATGGGCTTCGGCCCAGTCAGCATGTCACCAGGACTGGCTACTCACATGGAGGTTCGTTCACAGTTGCAGTGTTTAAATTTAATACATAAAAAAAGAAAGAAAGTGACAGTTTCTCTTGTCTTCATATCTGTGTGTATGTTGTCTAAAATGAGACCAGAAGTATTTTGGTGACTTTTAAACCCTACCTAAGAATTGTGACTAAAACTTTTCAGGGTTGTGCTGCTAGATAAGAAACTCATGTTAACTTTCACTCAGCCCACATCAGGTTAACATTTTTCTCTGGGTAAAAAAAAAAAACAGTGTTACGAGTAGTGTGATCGAAAACGTCTGATAAAGATGTAAACTTGTGTTGTATTATTTTCCCAGGACAGTCCATTAATGTCCATCATCAAAGAGGTGGGACTACCTAAATTACCTCCTCATGGAAGGAATGATGAAGAACGGGATTTGTCTGAGAGGGTCCCACCTCCTCGCTCATCTTCCCCTGTTATCGGCTCTCCTCCAGTGAGGGCTGTACCTATTGGGACGCCACCCAAACAACCAATCAGCCACAGTCTAAATCATCAGGTGGCTCACAGACTCTACAAATGTTCTTTTGTCTTTTACAATATTTCTGTGTGTTAGCAATACAAAAATCAGCAAGATCAAGAACAAACTGAGCTCAGAGACCTCTTTTTTGGCCTCCTAGATTTGTGTTTGACTGTAGGGCTATCAATGGAAGTAGACTACTGTGTCACCAAAGAAAGGTGCCTTGTGGGTTTTTACATTAGTGAACTGTGTAGCTTTTAGCATTATCAGTTAGCTGTCTGTCTGTTAACCTCCTTCTTCATGTGTGTAGAGCCATCATCCCACAGCTGTGCATGTCAGAGCTCCGCTCCAGCACAGATACCCGCCTCCTTTCCCTGAGCGTCTGTCACCAAACACTCTCCTCAATATAGCTGTAAGTCTCCCCTCTCCCTCCCTCACCTCTACTTGAATTAGGTGTTATACGAGTCGGCGTGTTACCTCCAAAGCTTTTTTCCACACCACTACTTAGCACTGTTCACCTTTACATGATATGTGATTGTGTTAAAGAAGAAGAACTGAACTGAAATCGCAAGGGTTTATGGGTTTGGAGGAAGTTACTAATTTTGACCATTCGACTAATCTCTTGGATTTTGAAGTTCATTTTTGTCTGAAAAATTAAGCTCCAGGTGAACGTTTTTTGAAACTTCTGTTTGTCTTTAGAATTCTCCGCTCGGTCGCAGTCCCTTCCCTCCTGGTGTCGGCCCAGTTCTGTCTCAGATTAAACGGGCTCAGCTACTAAACTCTCAGGTGAGTGTCACGGTCAACAGCTGAGGTTCTGATTCAGCTGTGGAAGCTGCCTGTCTTTATAGAGGAAATAAAAGGAATACTACAGTACATGTAGTATTGCATGGATTGATTTCATCGCCTACGTGATAGTTTCAGTAGTTGTGTTGATTTAGAGTTTCAGAGTGGAGCTACAGCAGAGAGCGGCTGACTGCCTGGTTAGCTCTGAGTTTTGTTTAAACCTAAAACTTTAACTTTTTTCTCAAACTCAACCTTCTGAATTGCCATTCCCCCAGGTGGCTGGTTTCCCCCGTGGAGGACCTGCACCTCCCATGTTGCCTGGTGGTGGAGGTTTCCGGCCCTTTTTTGGGGGGCCACCTCCTCCTCATGGTCATCGAATGGGCCCCATGCCTCCACATGGTCCTCCTAACCACACACCGCCCATCAGGCATAACACCACCCACCTCCACCCTCAGCACCGGCGTATGCTCACCCAGCGAATGCAGAGCAGAGGAGGGTGAGGAAGTGTGAGGAAATGTGCTTGCAGCAGCTGGGTGAAAACTGACCTGGGAATAACTGTTGAATTCCCCGCAGGGACCGTGGCAGGACTGGAGGAGACCGTCGCAGCAGAGACCCCTACAGTAATCTGATGACCCAGAAGGAGAAAGAGTGGGTGACCAAGATCCAGATGATGCAGCTCCAGAGTACAGACCCGTACCTGGACGACTACTACTATCAGGTCAGCTCTTTGTGGAGGTCTGCAACCTTCAGTATGGCAGGCAGATCCAACCATCTGTTAATATTTTGATATAATATTTTGATATTTGATTAATTAATTACTAAGCTGATGATTCATTTTTAAATAAGTCTTTATGGTTCTCCACCATCCTAAAAAATGTTGTAAGAACTATGACTCTATTTTTGTTTTATTTCTGACATCATTTCACACCAGTACAATGAAGGGAGTCTGATTTGAGTTTGTGTGTGTTAAATCTGTAGAATTACTATGAGAAGATGGAGAAACGACAGGAGAAGGAGAGAGACAGCAGCAGCAGGAAAGAACACACCACCAAGCTCATCACTCCACAGGTGGCCAAGGTTGAACACACCTACAGACCAGGTAGACCGTAGCAGCTGTTGTTTTGCTGTTTGATCAGTCACAGCTACACTGTGCAGCTGTGCTCATCCTGAACTTGTGTTCCGTTCTCAGTTCAGTTTGCAGGTTCTTTAGGAAAGCTGACGGTTTCCAGTGTCAACAACCCACGCAAGATGATTGACGCAGTGGTGACAACTCGCTCTGATGACGAAGTGAGTCAGAGAAGTCATCATTTCCGGCGTCTTTAAACAACAATCTGTCTTAAATACATTTTATTTTCAAAAAGAAACTTTAACTTTAAAAAAGGATACATATTCTAATTCAACAGTGATGTTGGTGGTTTGATTCCTGATGCTGTTCTGTTTGCAGGAGAAAAGAGAGAAGCAAGTTTGGAATAAGAGGAGACAGATCCTCTACACAGTGGAGAAGGTAAGAGGAGCTCCATCTGAAGTTTGTTTTTCAAGAACTCTAACAAATCTGAAAAATAGAAAATAATTCTTTTGATCAGAATGTTTACTAAAATCCCTGTTCATGTGGTTTGTAGACACACACTTTGTGCTAGACCTGATCCGTCCCTCTGTCTTCTACTAGATGTACAGTTTGTTGCTGGAGGTCCAAGACTTTGAGAAACGTTTTGTGCAGACACCAGAGGAGGACAGAGAAGCTCTGCTGGAGCAGCACAAACAGAACACAGAGCAACTTTGCAACTCTATGAGGGAGAAGGAATGGGAGGACAGGTAGGAGGCGGAGTCAGAGTAGTAGGGGTTAATGGGGTGGATTAAAAAAACAAACCAATGATCTAAATGCTGAAGGTGTGCAGCTAATAAGACTACACACTAACTCCTGTTTTTTTTTTCATTTCATCAGAGTGAGCGATGAACAGTGTGTGATGATCATGTCGGTGAGGAAGGGCAAGCGGCTTGTTGCCAGGCTCCTCCCCCTCCTGCCCTCAGCACAGGCCGCCGCCATTGTCATGGCGATTGCACGCAACCTTCCCGCCCTGACCAAGAAAGACAAACAGGATCAGGTGAGAAAAAAATAATAGTTTTTTGCTTTTGAAACCAACTACAACCCCATGGTACTGAACTGGACTACACATGGAAGATTGGATCTCGTAACTAAACATAGTAATGATTAACTAGTTCTGCTTATGAACAAAAGTGCAATAACATTTGGTACATGTTGAAACAGGTTTTTTTTTACATGTATTGCATTTAAGAGATACTTCAGACACAAAGTATTTTGGTGACAAGAAACCTAAACTCCTCAGTAAACCACGAAACAAAATAATTACAATAAAAATGTGTTCTCCTCATGTTTCTGTTCATGTCAGAGCTGCAGCAGTTGTAGCCCCACCCCCAAACGTTCTTATTAGTGAAGAAAGAGACTGATTAATGGTCAACATTTGTTAAGGTGTTGTTAAATTAATACTAAATTGTTTCATCACTTGATGAAATCACAGACTTAATTCTATTGATGGTCCAGTCTTTGATTCTGACAGGTTGAGTTCTACTGAGTGTGTGTTCTCTTTATATCCAGGTGCTGTGCTGGTTGGTGGAGCCTGTCTCTGCTGTCATCCAATCATTGTCGAGCTCCGCCCTCACAGACCTGCTGCAGGAACTTCAAGGCAGTGAGGGTCAGCTGGCCACAGTACTGCAGAACAAGGTACACACACGCATGCCCACACAGGTCACTGACCCCTGGAGTGAAAGTTGACCTTTGTTCTGATCCGCAGCCTTGTTTTAAACATTAAAATATGAGTTTATTCTCAAGTAAAGTGAAAACATGGAGACCCTCACAAACTCTGTGTGTTTGTGTGCGTGTAGTTTGGTGTGACACTGCTGTATCTGATCCTGAGTGAAGGTGAGAAGATGCAGAGCTCAGACCCCAACTGTCAACTGATGGACGACAATCGATGGTGAGGTGTTCTGTCACACTCGGCTCTTCAGTTCACTTACTCAGTCCTGACCCTCACTTTCTGCTTCTCTCCCACCCCCATCAACCACCCCACCCCTCTCTGATCCAGGACTGAGTTAGTGTTTTCCGTGACCAGGGAGCTGCTCAGCGTTTCGTCCTCTTCCCTCTCTGCTCCTCTCTTCACTCCGGCCAACCTCTTGTCCCTCTTCTCCCGTTATGTGGATCGTCAGAGGTTGGAGCTGTTACAGAACAAACTACAGTGAGTTACACCGGCAGACCAGTGGTTTGGTGTTAAATACTTTAGCAGTTAAACAGCCGTAATTACTGTAAGTACTGTGGTCCCACTGAAAAACTGCAGCTAAACAAATGTTTGTTTTTGAATTTCACAGAATCACCGCTCTGTCCAGGTAGAAGTTACCACAGACATGGACACCACCCCTGATGTAGACCTGTTTGTGAGTGTGTGTATGTGCGTGTGCAAGTATGAGGTGAATATGATGGAGGAGGATTTTAATCCAGCAGAATCTAGTCACTTGTTTCTTCTTTGTGTGTAGTCTGTGTATGTGTGCATCTGTGTGTGTGTGTGTGTGTGTGTGTGTGCGTGTGAGAGAGAGAGAGAACTGTACAGTCTGAATGATGATTAAATATAAAATCTGCATTTTTAAATATCTTGTTTACAAATATGCCTGTGATGAACTTTCAAATTAAAAGTATTTCTATTCTATAACTTCTTTCATGGTGTAGCCAGCGTCTCACTGTGACCTGACCTCCTGCACACACTCACCTTTCCCGTTTTCAGGGTTGTCTCACGGTTCTCCAAAAAGTCTTATTGCGGATGCGAGGTTTGAAAATGTTTAGTAATCACAGCTGTATTGTATTTTTAAGAATCTGCAAAAGCAAAACTGTTTTTACAAGAATCCAAAGCAAAATTCAGGTGCAGAGTTAAAAATGGAGAAACAGAGTTTCAGAAAGACGTGAAAGAAGTGTTTGAAATATGGTCTTAAAGGTAAAAAAAACATTCTGACAATTTATTGCAAAGATACAAAATTGAAGTGACAAAGACTTTGTGCGTGTGAGAGGACAATAATAGGCCTTACAAGTATTTTACTTTACTTAAGGTAGAGGACAGAGACAAAGACAGTTGAAAAGACACTCCACACATTTTCAACAAACTTCTGCCATAAAACCAAAAGTGACTTGATCTGAAGACTTCGTGGCGCAGCTGCACTCAGCGCTGATCAAACCTCTGCTTCTTTCTTTGCTGTTTGAGCCCCTCTGGAAACACACACACATTTTCATGTTTACTTTATCTGTGATTGAGTAAATCTGTGAGTCTGTCTGTCTGTCTGTCTGTGTGTGTGTCCATGTTTCTCACCAGCACACACCACCTCCACCACTGAAGAAGAGAACCATTGTCTGGTGGCTCCACAGTCCAGTAGCACAGACTCACTTCCGTCACAGTCGGAGAAAAAATGCCACACGCTGGTCAAGTCCGTCAAAGCCACGGCTCTGGTGGAGACAGGTGGGCCGCAGCCCAATTGCCTGCATACGATGGCAGCGTGCTTCATGTCCCAGACAGTGGAGTCTGCGCTCAGGGGCAAAGGCATCGGGTGGCCTACGATCACCTGCCCGGCACAGACCAGCTGTCCTTCTTCTACTTCCTCATCTTCATTATACAGCCACAGACTGTCATTATCTACACACAGCCAAAAGGTCAGGGGGAGGTCAACATGTACAGTGACAACGCTTGGCTAACCTTTAGCTACTTCTAAGCAAACTTATCTTTAAAATAATTTTAATTTGGGTAACCTTCAGCTCTTCCTAGACTTAATGTCGTCTCTAAACTCCTTTTTAATTTTCACAGATTTCTAGCTATTTCTCTGTAAAGTGCTATGCTTTTTTTGTTTAACTTACCTTTTGCTATCTCTAGGCAAGTCTTATTTTTAAATTTTTGGTTCCTTCAGTCTATGTCTGGATGAACATTTGATCCATTTCGCTCTTTGTTTTAGGTTGTTTGCTACGTATATCTTTCCTTTTTAACTTGAGGTGAGTAAACCTTTAGCCATTTAACTTTTAGCTACTGACACATTCTCTTTTGCTACCGATAAGTTATTTCTCAACCAACTTTTTTGCACTTAAGTTAGTGTTTTGTCCAATGTCTAATTGTTTTTTAACAAAATAGTTTATTTTTAGCTTTTTCTAACTAGTAATGTGCTAACCTTTAGTGTTCTTTCTGCCTTATAATCTAGTTAATGTATCTGTAAATGTGGTTTGCCCTCTGACAGTTCTGTGGAACAACTGTACCTGTGACAGTGAGGAAGACGCTTTCACTCTGAGGAGAAGAAAAGTTCTGGCTGAAGATGGAGTTGTGGTAAACACAGGTGTAGTTGCCCTGGTGGAGCAGTTCTGCTGTGGGGAACTTGAAGAGGGCAGTGTGGTCGACAGCAGGCTGGCTGAAAGTGTGGGTCTGGTTGGAGCCGATGAAGATGAGGCTAAAGTGACCGTCAGGATACTGAGGCTCAGCGGAGCAGTGGACGGTGAAGCTGTGACCCCTGAAGACCCAGATGTCCTTCTGCTGCTCCACCCCCAGCCCAGAGTAAAAGGTGATGTTGGGCTGAAGCAGAATGTCTGCGAAATGACAAATAAGGTCAACTTGACGTGACCTTTAGCTATTTCTGGCTACTGTCATTTTTAAATCAATTTTCCTATCAATTTAACCTATTATGTTTGTGAACTGTTTCAGTCACTGATGGTCCTCTTTGCTGTTATTATCATTAAAATTGTATCCACTGTCACACCAACAACAGCTCACTGTACCACTATACCGACTGCTGCCCAGAGCTGAGCCCCACCCATGGTGATCATCACACACGTGAGTGAAATGTAGTGTCATTCTCACCTGAGCAGATCACTTCGACCCCAGCAGAGGCGACCCACTTCTTCACTATGCCACAGTCCATCAGGGAAGGTTCTGAGCCCTGACAGTCAGAGAAGAAACGCCACACGGACTGTAGGTGAGCCCCCAGGTCAACTCTCTTGGTGAGAGCTGCCAAGCCGCAGCCCAGCTGTCTGCAGACCACACCTGCCTCCTTCATGGTCCAGGAGTGTTGGTGGCTCACTGGTCTCCACTGTTCCTCGTTCTGCACTTCTAGCCTTCCCAGACAGAGGCCGCCTTCTCCTACTAACCTCACATCAGGAAGCTCTGCAAGGAGAAAAGGGGAGGGCGCCACCATCAGTTCCAACACAACACAGAACCAACAATGACATATGTTCGCTTCTTTTGGTTGTTTTCTCTGAGGAGAAAAGGTGGAGTTAGCTCCTTTGAGTTTTCAGTGTAAGTCAGAATACATGTCATTTATTATTTATTTCACCAACTCTAAAGATCGGATATACCTTTTGCTTCGACACTGATCCTGGCTTTCTCTGAGAACAGCTCGGGACTGAAGTCGTAACTGTAATCACACTTAAAGGTTATCTGGCCAGTAGCAGCTTCAGCAGGAAAGATGAACACTCCTTGCCCCTTACCATTGGGGGGCACTGTTTGCAGGACCGTATTATTCTCTGCAGATAGGCGAAAGGTGACAACCCGGGGGAAGTCATGAGTGCAGATGATGGTGAAGCGACGCCCTTTGTGGAAATGGTCCTGCTGCTGTACACTTCTGAGGTAAAGATGTGGAACTCGGGGTTGGACTGCAGAGAGGAGGAGGAGGAGAGTGAAGGTGAAGATTTTTTTTATGGTGAGAGTTTAGAACACATTTCTCCCTGACCAGACACACATAGAAATACACACCTCACATGTGTGTGTGTGTGCTCACCTAAACACGTCACCTGAACATTTTCACACTCTCTCAGTTGTGTGTGTGAGGCATTGAGAGCAGCTGAAGGACAGTGGGCCAGGCCCGGTTCTGTTCCTTCACACCTGAACTCAGGAGCCCAGATCATCTCTGCGTGTCTGTTGTTCCCCATATGTGAATAATGAGAATCTGCGAACCCACAGCCCAAATCTCTGCAGACCACGTGGGCGTCGTCACGAGAAAAGAAGTTACTACAGGCCGGAACCCAGGCATCGTCGGACTTCACCAGGACCTCCCCTTGACATTTGTAGCCCCTGTTTTTCAGTCTGACAGAATCTGTGGGAGAGAGTGGGTGGGGGAACACGGGGGTGAGGAGGGGTTAAAAAAGAGGAGGAGGGTCCGAGTGATTTGCAGGGTTTTTTTTTTTAATTCCAGTCACCATTGCCCTTTTTGGCTAACTTTTAGCTTTCTTTTGGCTAACTTCTAGCTATTTCTTGGCTAACCTTGCGCTTTCTTTTTGGCTAACTTTTAGCCACTGTCTCCGCTTTGTGCTTCTCTTCAAGCGAGTTCTTGTCCAGTCTTTTTTCTTCATTTTAATCCAACTTGGACGTTTAGCTTCACTAATTCAGAAGCTACATATTTTTCTGGTCCTGCTCATTGTGCTTTACTTACAGCTAATCTTTAGGTGTTCGTGAACAATTGTGGCCAAGAACAGCACAAAATGACACACACACACACACACCTGAACAGGTCAGGGTTATGCCATTGTCGCTGATGTAATGATCCCATCGTGAACAGAATGAAGATCTTCTGTCGTAACAGTCAAACTGCCACACTCGTTGCCTGGCGGACAGAGCGGATCTGGCTGCGGCAATGGTATCTCCGCAGCCCAGCATGTGGCAGGCACGGTGTGTGTTTTCTGGTTCAAAGAATCTCCAGCCGGTCAGGGGCATCCACTCTCTTTCCTTCTTCCCCTCCAGTCTTCCTCTACAGCTGCTTTCTCCCCCAACTAGCCTCAGCTGCACACCTGGACAAAGACACCAGGACAAGGACAGATTCTGTAGAACCTCACTTCTGATAAGCAAACCTTTTTTTTAAATCTTTTTTTGTTCATTTTTGCAACTTAAGCAACTAGAACAGAAAAACCGTGTCACTCACGTGTATGTGTGCATGTAAGTGTAGCTTCAGTTACACAGTAGAAAATGAATAATTTAACAACTGAGTAAAACTTTGTCTTCTTCCAGGAAATCCCATATCTAAGTAAGGAGTTTTACACCAGAAGTAGATGCACTGCACCTTCAGGAGAGCAGTTGATCCTAGAGATCGGTCGGCAGTTGTCACGTGTGGAACTGGTGCACTCCTCGAGACGAGATTCGTTTTGTTGGCAGAAGAACTGCTTGGTCAAAACTGATTCGATTTTTTGTTCAGATGAGGTTCTTGAAGAATCTGCAGGTCCACAGCCCAGCTCGCTGCAGACCAGGTTTTGAGCAAAGGAGGTAAGACCTTCCTCACACACAGGGAGCCAACCATGACCTGACCTCACCTCCACTGTGCCGCTGCAAGACAGGGGTGATGTTTCTACCATCCTGACCGACTCTGTGGGTGGAGACAAAGAAGAAGCTGCAGCTTCACAGAACCAACCGTGAGTAAAGTTCTGGCCTGTGTTTGGACAGAAGCCTCGTCACAGCAACATGTGATTTAAATAAAAATAAGCAGCAACTTCAGAGCTAGTTTAGTTTAGTAGTACATTAGGAATGCAGTGTTAGTGTGGTGACCTGTGCAATGTTACCTGCACAGACCAAGTCCAGACTGGAGGTGGAGGAGTCTACGCTGTGCACTCTGCTCCGGGTCACCTCGCTGTCACACTCCCTCAGACTGGCCTCTGAGCCTTGGCATGTGAAATTGAGCTCCCAGGCTGCTCTGGCCTCAGAGCTGTTGGTGCTGAACTTGATGGAGAGTAACGAGCCACAGTCCATCTGTCTGCACAGCACAGCCGCAAACTTGATCTTCATGTACTTGCTGTGTTTCTCCTTGATGTGCAGAAATCTCCACTCTCCACGATGTTTAATCTCCACCACACCAGAGCAGCGGCCGCTGGCCTCAGCCAGACGGGCATCTTCAGGCGCTGGACAAAGAGAGAAGGTATTTACTCCAGTGACGTGCGATTAGGACATCATGATAAAAAAGAAAAAAGGTACATAAGATAAATATGAATATTTTCCACTGATCTGTGTTAAACATGCATTTTGACAATGAATCAACACATTTTTGACATTTTATTACGTTAACATCGCCGAATCTGAGTATTTCGTGATCAAATACAGGGCAGAAATCCTGGGTGAGGCAGTGGAGAGCTGTGCCTCACTTCTCACTGCGCGATCCAATACAACCTGGGTCATATGACGCTTGCCAATTTCCTCAGCCAATAAAGTGCAGAAAAAAGTCAGCGGGGAGGCAAACGGTACTCTGCCTCACCTCAAGGGGTCGTACATGAACTGACAGGTGCTCTCCAGCTGACGTCAACAGGCAATTGAAAGTCGGCGCGTTTTCTATGCTCTGCCTGGTTCGACTCACCATGGATTGTATTTCAAGATGAAAATATTTCTCAAAACTGGACTTCTGGTCCAAACAGAAAGTGATAAGTGATGGAAGACCAACGCCGGAGCTAAAAGGTTAGCTTCAAACTGCGGGACAGAAGAGTAGTTTTTTTCAAATGGAGTGGTACAAACGAAAAGACTGTGTAGATGTCCTGTAAGAAACCGCCATTACTGCTCTTCTCGTCTTTTATGCTCATCGTGTGATAACGTCTGGACTAACTCGGGATACTGTGACCTGAAAATTTTCCAAAGAAGCCTCAGCAGACATGAAAGACCAGCCACGTAAATTCAAAGCCAGATTTCTTTAAAAACTTTTGGAAATTCAAGGATCGATTTGGCATTGGATGAGCAACGGAATCTAAACATTAGCGCCACAATGCTAAGGTGAGGGAAAACCGACAGACACGACCATGGACTTCATCTCTAAGTAAAGGTAAGGCCAAAAATGGTTTTATGTTTTTGTTTTTTAAAAATAAGATGGGATAAGAAGTATTTGATAACTAAGTTTTTGGCCTAATTTTTTTTCTTATCATTTTGATAGACAACATTTGATTAAAGCACCAGAAGTTTAAAAAATAACTGCATTTTTTTTACTGAAGGTCAAAATTAAATTTGTGCTGCACTCATCTCTATACTTTAATTTGTGTCTAAGCAACACAAGAGGGGTGCTCTGTCCATTTCTATGAAAGAAACGTTCTTTGTAAAACAAATATAGTATGTTACTGTGTACATGTTTGTGTTGGTGTCAGTGTCATTGAAAGAGGAATGCTGATGGATATGAAGCATTACCAGGTGATGCTGTTGGATGCATAGTGAAATAAGATGTTGTTACAATTGTAAATCTGACTCCAGAGGAGTCAGTGCCTCACCAGCCATGAACCTCACGGCACGTCACTGTATACAATGGTATTAATTCAGTAAGGGGTTAGGGCTAAGTTTTCTTTTGTTTTTTATGAAAATCAAGGTTAAACCAAATTTCAGTCGATGTCATGACGTTAATGAGTACTTAATTATGTTCAAACTCTGTTCCTCCGCTGGGAGGCGCCAGAGCAAGAAGGGCACGAAAAAAGAAAAAGTTCTGGAGCTGAACAGCAGTAAAATCTAACTGTAACTTTAATTGTTACAGGTACAGTGAAAAAGGGGATAGACTATACTACTGCAGTAAAATTAATGTAATACTGCAGTATGACAACTATTACTTGTATTTATATGAACTGATGTTGGACATCAATTTATTCATAAAATAATGAAGCAGACATTTTTATTCTTTTGCACTTTTTTAACTTTAAACGTTAACATAAACAATGCCAATGTGCGGGGAGGGGCAGTTGTTTTTGTCGCTCTTTGTACGGAGGCCCACTATGTTAGACTTTGACAACCCCCTATCTAATCAACCCAAAAATTCCACAACTCCCTTAGTGCTGGTTACCGTGGATCCCCTGCTGAGTACCTCTGAGCTACACCATTTATGACCCCGTACTACACAACCATTTAGAAGTAGTCCACATGCGTCACAGAGTCAGGTACAAATACATCCACACAACTATGTGTATGTAACTAACAGACAATGTATTCTATTACTAAACAAACATTATTTATTAAAACTAAAATCTGAACCGAGCCTCCTTCTACCACACTCTTACCAATAGATAAGTCCACACTGGAGATGTGTGCTGTCAGCAAAACAACAAACCAAAATCCTGGTGAAAGAGCACTTGGAGCGGAGAGCATGTTTACTGTCCTCTGCCTGAACGTAAAGACAAACTATAGACTTGCATTCACTGCCACTGAACCCTGTCAGAACAATCACATAGAGTGGTTGGTGGGTTGTAATCCAACCCAGTAGCTGTGATTGGCTAGAAAGCATCCCCTCTCTGTGAGTTTCATCCGCTTAGTTATTACATATAATGTAATGCTAATATCATTATATTTTGTACTTAGATTTATATCATTATTACATTGTAATGTCATATAGAGGAATCAAAATAAAACAATTTATTATGTATTATTTGTTCTGTGTGGGCTGAAGCTAAATTAACCACAGCTTGATATGGGTCCATGGCTCTGTTATTTGGGCCCCTTGGAATCAGGTCTTTTTCTTATTAAAAAAAGATCCCTTAGATTCCTTTTGTAATTTATAATTGCATTAACTGACAAACAGTACATATATATGGATCATATAAACATGTAAATTAATTTGGAGAGTTTATATAATTTATTACCACTATTTACATACAGGGCCTTTACTGTTGTATTATTATTATTATTATTATTATTATTATTATTATTATTATTATTATTATAACCAGACAGGTAGTGTTATCAAAGTTATTCAGTCAAACCGATATACAACAGTTACCAAACACGTGATGTCAGAAGCCGTGGAACATTTGTCTGGAAGAACGAACGCTGTGCGTCTGTATCTAAATTATTCGATATTTATCTGTCTTAAATGGACTTCGGAATTTGTGTGTGAATTATCTATTTTAGCAGTCCGTCTGGGTTTCTTCGGTAAAAACAAAAACGGCTGCTCCATGTCCAAAATGTTCACGTCGTGATTCGTTACAGGTTGGAAAAGTAAAGCTATTGTTTAAATATTGGAATAACTGAAACTGCTAACAACATTGACATTAGAGCTTTACCTTCATGTTTGGCAAATTCTACGTTGTAACTGTTGTGTTACGCAGAGAAAAAGAAAAAACAAATACCGCCCGAACAGGGACTTGAACCCTGGACCCTCAGATTAAAAGTCTGATGCTCTACCGACTGAGCTATCCGGGCTCTTCGAGCTCTACCGACTGAGCTATCCGGGCTCTGCGCAAATATCTTAAAATACATTTAGAAAACCTTGTTAGCCAAAAATCGCGCATTATATTTTAGAAATTATTCTGTGATATATCACCAGAGAATTAAGCCATTTCTCTCCTTGGAAAATAGCAGATTTAATTTTGTAACTGTTCCAATTTTACACATTTAAAATCTCTAACTACAGTTACTGTATTGTTGGTTAACAGCCTTCCTCTTCTTGTAAAACCTTCAACTATTGTTTCTCATTATATACATTTGTATGTTTTAAATGTTTTGCAATGTACATGACTCCCATGTTAACATGTGTCGATTCTTATTTTTTATTTAGAAAAAATGTCAGTTTCGTAAAAGTAGTAATCTTCTGTCGTCCTTACCCCGTTTTACAATTTTACGGTCTATTGCCGTAAGTATTTTTGATAGCACGATGGCTCTGTTTACCGTAAAAGCAGACGCAATGACGCATTGTCAGTTGGCTAGCTGTAGCTGACTATGATTTTAACCTTTTTTTCCTTAATTAAGTTAACTTATTCGGTAATGACGTCTCTCACGTGAAACAGAAACCCAGCTGCGACGATTTATCTTAACAGAAAGTTTGTTTTGTCTAACATTTGTTCTTTCTAACGGGCTTTTTCCCCCATTCCGTAAATGCGCAGTTAAATAATGACACAGAGGCGGTTTCAAGCGTCGACGACGCGTTGTATATTAGAAATACCATGTTTTGCAGTCTGTCTTTAAAAAGAGACAACTAACAGCATGCAACAGGTGGCTCCGTGGCGCAATGGATAGCGCATTGGACTTCTAGTCAAGTACTTGAGATGTAATTCAAAGGTTGTGGGTTCGAGTCCCACCGGAGTCGCACTTTTTTTTTCCTCAGATGGGTATATATAACCGCCCGTTCTCAACAATTATTTAAAATTTAAAATATCACTTTTTCATCTGCCTCCGTTAAGATTTCTTGTTTATAAGACTTAAACAACTTCTGGAAGAATGATCATTAATTTGATAAACAGATAGTTATTCCAGTGTATAAGTGAACCGTCTTTCATGTGTTTATCACTTTGTTCATGTTTAAGAAGATCCAATCTTGTTTTTTAAATTGGGCTGGTTCTACATTTCATTTGTAGATGGCAAGTGGAAAACTCGCGTATTTGCCGCGGCAGCGTACTCTCTTTGCGTTGTGTTAAATAATTGTGGTGAAATCATCAGCTTGGTACGTCATCTTTTATTTCTGGCATAAAGGGTGAAAACAGTCAGTCCATTTTGGAGCAACACACACACACAGGTCTGACGCTGAAAATATAAAGTAAATAACAGTACAGATAATGATAGAATTAATATAATCAAATTAATCAACGGCGGACCTCCTAACTTGTACCTACCATAAGGAGAGCAGAGCCTGACTGTTGCTCACCGGGGTTTACGACACAAATCAGCAGGGGTGTTGCATTTAATGACCATACGATAAATTAAGGGTTTTCTTACCTGATGTGTATTAAACTCTTTTGTATGGCAGGTGGAACCATATATTTATAACTCTGTTACACATTTTATTCCATACATATTTGTTTTTGCGCTGGGGCCAATCGCCTCAAACCCATGCAGCACCATTAGTCGCATTAATGGTAAGAAGTATTTTATGTATGGATAGTATAACACCGTTAATAATTAAAAAGAAAATAACTTTTATACCTTTACTTAATTCTTCAGAAACGTATTATACTACATTCAGTTGTATTCAGAGTAAAAAAAAAGGATGGCTCTCACAGAAATACATATTAAAATATGTGACTTTTTTGGCTCTCTCTGCTGAAAATGTTCCTGACCCCTGCTCTATGGGTATGTCGTTCACTGGAGGATCACCACTAGTAATTCTGGGTGATCTTTGATGTTTATCAGGATGTTTTATACACTTCACAGAAGACTGTCGGTTTAGGTCAGCCCACACTAATAGGTACTCTCAAATAGAACCTTTAGAGCAGCCTGTACCACATGGGCGGCGTAAGAGAGGAGCGCTTCTTTTTTACTGCCCCCTCAAACAGTCTGTTGGAGTGTTTCTGTAGGCAGGTAAGGATGATAAACTCAGTATCTTCACATTCCTCCAACATCCTGTGCTGTAGGTTTTCACCAAACCTCAGCTGGAGCTCATGCACCACGTCTTTAGCCAGGGACTTGGACTTTTTGAGTTGTGGTAGATGACCTTCATGAGTGATGTTCTGCACCGATCGGTCCACAAGCTGGTTAATGTGTCTGGCTCTTTCCACATCAGAGAGCTGTGTTAGTGCGCCAGTCCTCCGCAGGATGTGGTAGACCGTGGTGTTCAGGAAGTTACGGACCTGTGGAGAGAGATCTGATCCAAACTCCTGCTCCTGGTCTACTTTTGGACATGGAACAGACCTCATGGTCACTGCGGTGTAGCAGGAGTTTGTAGTTTCCTTCGGAAAATGTAAAGACGAAACATGATTTCTGTGTTGATGAACTTTAGTGCATTTGTTTGAATTATAATGAGTGTCTTTGATCTCACAGATGATGTCATGGTCAGATACAGTCGCTCAGAAAAAAACGACCAGGTCTGCAGGTCTGATGTATTTTGCTTGTCAGACTTTCTTTGTCAAACAGACAGACTTTTATAGCTGTGTAAAAGATACATTAATATATACTGTAATTGAAGGATGAGTGGCTTGTTCCTCCTAGTTTTTGCACCAAGATTTCACCACTAGATGGAGACACGTTTCAAGACTGAGTCAGTGTAATGTGCAGCCATTTATAAAAAGCAACATCTGAGAAGCCAGGGAGGGCATAGCAGTGAGGTGACAAGTGAAGACGCTCTTGTTCATCTGAGGATCAGATCATCCATGATGGACGCTCTGAAGACGTTGTTGTTGTTGTTTTTTCTTCACACAGCCACCAGTCTGCCGGTAAAACTCCTCAACTACTCCTCACTTTAATCATCAGAAAGTTTCTCTTTTACTGTTCAGGCTCAGTGTGCAGCTTTGAACTCTGTGTCCAGGTTCCTGAGCCGTGTGAGCAGAAGGTGGTCCGTTTGGAAGAAGAGCTCCGAGGCCTGGTCCGTGTGATCAGTGACCAACATCATTACATCCTGGAGCTGCACAGGCTCCACAGCCAGCAGCTGGAGAACATTCCCAACTCCCACCTTGGTCCCGACAACCTGTACAAAGGTGGGGACTCGGGTCAACCACATTCAAATGTTCGGATCGGCCTAGGCTGAAGTTTGTCAGTAAGTATGTGTGTGTGTCTGCAGACTGTTCTCAAGTGTTTGCTGATGGGAACGTAGCCACTGGTATCTACGTGGTTCGTCCTGATGGTTCTCCAACTGCTCTGACCGTTTACTGCGACATGAGCAACGGTGGAGGATGGACCGTGTTCCAGAGACGGAGAGACGGCAGTGAGAACTTTGACAGGTGTGTTTGTGTGTGTTTATTTATATTTATTTCATTTTTTTTTAACATAAAGTTGTGAAGATGTTTTGCTTTATGTTCTTCCTGCGGCTCTGTACCACTTGACCTTTGATCCCTGGGTTGATCTTCTTAAGGTTGTATTATGAAAAATTCCTACTGTGTCTTGAATAAACTGACCGTGTTAAACAAATGTGCTGCTGTGTGCAGAGCGTGGGTGGAGTACAAACAAGGCTTTGGAGATCTCTACTCACCTGATGGAGAATTCTGGCTGGGCAACGAACCTATTCATCATCTCACCTCACAAGGTGTGTGTGCGTGTGTGTCAACATCGATGGGATATGACCTGTGGGAAATATTTAACACCTGAAAACTCTGTGCTTCAGGAAATTATGATTTGCACATCGACCTGGAGGACTTTGACGGAAACCATCGCTACGCTGAGTACAAGAACTTCAGAGTGGATGGTGAGAAGGTAAGGAAGTGAGAAAGGAGAGAGAGTGAGCAAGGTGTTCGGTACCAAACTGAACCCAAATTGCTCTTTCCTCCATCAAAACATGTGTGCACTATGATGTAAACAATTCAGAGACAAATGGTGATGGGAGACCTTTGACCTTCTTCTAGATCTGATGACTTCACCTTCAGTTCTCTTTCCCACAACAGCAGAGCTTTTATTTTGACTGAGTGTCTTCTGTCTGCTGCTGATTCTAAGACTTTGTTATGGAAACAGCAGCAAGGATGTCTGGGAGTCCTCTGTCCGTTGATCGTTCTGGTTCCAGTCATTTTCATCCACCATCAGACTTTGTCTAGATAAACTGTTAAAACAGATATTTGTCAGTTTAATTAATTCAGACACTTCATGAAATCCTACTTATCATACCCAGGTTCTTAATACAAAAGTTGATTAGGTTCCACAGTTAGGAACAGGTCAGGTAAGGACACATGAGGACAGTACAAGAACATCTCCATTAATCAAGTAGGACCTAAAGTGAGGTCCGTCCAAAGTGAGGTCTGTCCAGTTCTAATCTCTGAATGTCTAAAGATGAAATTACCTTATATTTAGGTCTGAAATTTATGAAAAAAATGTAGTTTTATAAAAAAGGTATTTAGACATTTCCTTAACAGTGTGCCATTTTTAACGTCAGACCTTTAAAATGCTGATTTGAATTTTAAATCCTGGCTTTAATGGGTTTGTTTTTTCTCTGTCTCACCGAAGGACCAGTTCCAGTTACATTTAGGAGAATACAGCGGAGACGCCGGGGACGCTCTGGCCACTGTTGGGTCAGCTTCCAGGCCAAGTGGAGTCAAGTTCAGCACCTTTGATCACATGACCCATGACAGGGACAAAGACAGCGACACTAATTG